ACATGTATTTTGTCATTTTTAATTTTATCTTGTTATTGATTTTTTACATATTGCTTTGTATATATTAGAGCCGTTTTCAATTGAGTGTCGTAAAACCAAAACCAAACTAATTACTTACCAATTAGACTACTAAGCCAATCACCAACCGTAGTAAAACCAAAACCAAAACCAAAACCAAAGTAATTGCTTGATTACTTTCAACACTCAATTGAAATTTATAATTCACATAGTTCCTCGTACTTATCATTCTATATCTTTTACACTTTTTTAATAGTAATAAAAATTTGATCTCCCAACATTAGTATGGGATTGTAATAATATTGCAAGCTATAAGGTCTTGACAAAAAGTTTTTAAAACTTTATGTTTTTTTTTTTAAGTGATTTTAAGTGTGTTGGATGTGCATATAAGACTTGATGTGTTGTTGTTCTAAGTATGTGGAAAATCACGGTGACCATCTTAACAGTTCAGACCAATTAAATATACAAGTATTTTTAATTAACAATGCTGAATTCCTCTTTTTCACATACCAGCTTCTTCATAGAGTAGCAGAGGAGTGTAGAACTTTGTAGTGGCCTAAAACAAGTATTATAGTTTATTATTAATTATAATTATTAATTATGTATTTAATTATTAACAAATTAATGATCAATAACATCTGTCCAGAACTCATCCTGCCCCTAGAGGCAGCGTGGCCCACTGGCTAGGGTGCCGGACTTGAAATCCGGAGGTTGTGGGTTAAAGTCCTGCTCAGACCACTAAGCCAGAGTTGTTTCATGCTAGACCCTATTTCAACTCCTTGGCCATACTTGTAAATAGTCAACTGGTCTGTCTCCTGCCAGATGGTATTTTTAACCATGTTATGTTCATTTGCATTATTGGTTCATCATTTGGTTTCATTGGTCCTGAAAAGCCCCATTTGGGAAGTGCTCAATTACCGGTAATATTTTTATTTTATTATAGGATGTGAGTTCAACTGCATATTTCAGGTTTTCCCACACTACCAATTTTTAATCTGAATTCTCTCATAGCTTATAAGTACCTGTTTCATCTGGATGAAGATAGATGCAATGAACAAACTGAATAATCTACCAAAAGAAATCATGGCAGTGCACTGGACATCAGACCTTTAGATCTTAAGTCTGATATGCAATCCAACAGGCTACCATATCTTGTTCCTAATTACAGGGGTTTCAATAATGTTTTAAACAGGAGGGCAACTTGTTTTCACAACCAGGCAAAACTATTTCTAATCTGATTTCTTTGTCAGAAACACTTTCCACTGGATAGTCCAACCATGCAGATAAAATTCAATATCCTCAAAGCAGGTCAATTTGCCTGGTCCCCGGCCCTTAATGAAAAAACAGATGTGCATGGCTGGGCAAAGACCAAGACTTGGTATAATGAGATAAACATTAAACATGTTCAGCACAGGTTTGCACTAAGTTAGATAGCAGATCTGTAATAAAATTGTTGCTGCTTATGTTGGTTTTGCAAAATCGCTTACCTCATGTTTCAGCTGGTCCATTTCCCGGCACAAGGAAGCGAATACCATGACTACTTTGTTGAAAACCTTAAATCAAACAAGTACATGTATGCTAGGTCACACTGTAGTTAACAACAAAACTTTGTTCTAGTAATGAACTGTTATTAACTGGATCCAGTGCACACATAAATTGCCATTAATCATCTGGTCATTGTTTCATCCACAATGTCACATAATTATGTGTTTCATTTCTTATTGTTAAAAAGGAAATTGAATGCATCAAACCTTGTTGTCTGTCTTGATGAGCTCCAATAATCTGGACTGCTCGTATGGCAAAGTCTGGTCAAGTGAAAACATCATTTGATAAAAATTACATAGTTGGGTATTGACCAAATTAAAAAAAATGAAATTAATAAGCTGTTACATGAATACAGTAATAGTGATTAATACTATTATTATCAGAATCTACTTAATTGTATGTTCTCAGTAACTTATATTCGGTCTGCAAAGACAAATGCCATGTAAAATTATAATGTTACACATCCTGGGAGACTGGAGCTTCATTTTGTTTTGTTTCAAAAGAAAAAAAAAATGCATTGGTCCAATAATCACTATCTCAAGGTCAATGCAAACAATCGCAATGCAGACAATGTGACAAAAAGAAGTGCTGGGAACCACTAAGTGAGGAGTGGGGACAGTGGCAGATCTAGGGGAGGGCCCCCCTATTTTTGGTTAAAAAAAAACTTGAAGAGGGAAGAAAAACCAGCAGAGCAAGCCAAACTCCATCCCCACCCCCTTAGCTCAAGGTCTGGATTCGCCACTAGGGAAATTGGTATACAAGAGACAGGAAGTGGGACATTCTCATACCCCTCTACCCCTACCTAACTCCCTTCACCTCCCTCATCGCTGAAATAGAGCCATAATCAAAACACAAGATCGAGATAACTTGAACAGGTTTCCTGTCGAATTTTATGGGAGCTTAGAAGTCTCCCCCCACCCCATCTCCTCCTCCAGCCCCGTACTCTGTCACTCCCACCCCGGCGGGTATATGTTTTTTAACACTACAAACTTCAGGTTTTATGCACTATTAATCACAAATCATTATCCGAAATGCGTTTCATTTTTAAATCACCACGTACGCACTTGCAGAGCGATTGGATCCAGGCTAAAGTCCCAAGAATCTCCAACAGAATCGTCCAGAGCATTCTCGATAGCTTTCAATTGTGACGCGTATTCCTCCAAAAATTGGCCATACTTCCTCAACTGCGCTTCACCGACGATTTCTACAGACAGCAAGGATTACGTTAACATTTACAAATTTATAGTGCACGCTTATTTAAAGAGATCAAACTTACTCAGAGAACCGTCATCGAACGCATCCAAGTGCCATCCTTCCTCCATCTTGGAATC